AAATACGAAAGCAATCGATTTGGGAGCAATCGAAGTAATCAGGTTGGGATTGCGCTCCTTCAGCACCCCCCATGAGCTGACCTCGTATTGACATTACTCGTGACTGGACCCCATGCGATTGGCGCACTGGCCGTGTGTCACCCACAAGCGTCGCCCACTGCCCGCTGCTGGGAAATGACTGCATTGCAACGAGTTTGTGAGCATGTCAAATCTTCCACGCAAAGTGTTTGTACTGACATATTTTCAAGCTTCCTGTTGGTGCACATGGCCTATTGCTCTATCTGCTTGGTGGCCACTTCACCTCGCTGCAGCGATTCCGCGCATCTGGGTGCTGCTGAATTTCGATTCACCATTTGAGTTTGGCAAAAAAGCGTGTTACAACGCAAGCCTTCTTTGCGAAAACCCCGATCATGTTATATATCTACTCACAGGATGTCGGGATGCATTAGATTTGATGTTGAGTGGACGCACGCGGGTATTTTTTTTTTTCGACGCGCAACAAGGGAACCGTTGCCTTCACCAACGCGTAAACCTCAAACAGGTCGAGTACTGTCCTCTCATGTGGTGGTGGCCGTTGCAGAACCCAGTTGTTCCAAGTAGAACTGCGGACATGAACGAAATGATCTTTGGATTGCAAACCCATGCGAAATGAATCGATGCCTGACAACCTTGCTGCCGAAATCCTATCGGCTTCCTTCCTTCATTTGAATTGGTACATCCCTCTTACTTCAGGCGTTCCACTACCTGCTGCTTCAATTGCTGAACTTATGTTGCAACACCAAGAATCCGACAGAGGAGGCGGATCACTGTTGTGCACAACAATCGACCCATCTCGTTGTCTATGGCCACCGACTTTCCATCAGCCTTGGATTAGTACATACCTCTTGCTTCAGTTGTTCTACATACATACCAGTTGCGCTTCACTCGTTGAACATCAAAACAATCAAACATCATCATGTGCGATGGAAAAAATAAATTGCAACGCGGCGGCACCGTTTCTCATTAATCGATCAGAACGAGTCGACACCGTGGCACCAAACGAACCCGTGAATCTGCGGTGTACATTCCGGTGGAAACGATCTTCTTGCGAACACTGAGGTATGATGCCTGAAACGCTGTGTACAATATGTACTTCGCCGTGCTGTGGCGACCCCTGAAAGCAATTCGTGCGTCGCTGCACAACTCTACACCCACCCGCTTTTGCACAGCGTCGGTATGACGTCATACGACACTTTCCAGCTGCAGGTACACGGCATGCCCCATGGCTAGATTGCATGTAGCGTGTTACACGGAGGGCATGAAATGTGTGTGGGTGTACCGACGAGCGTGACCCGCTTGAGGAGCAAAGATGGCAGCACGCAAAACGAGCGTGGAAAAGATTCCGAAGCGGTGTGTAGCTACTTTTCTCATTTAGATTCGGCGCTCGCAGCGAAAGCGGATGTACAGCGACGCATCTTACTAATAGCATGGGAAAAAATTGCTCCATTTTTTTTTTCCCGTGTACGCTCAAACGCTGGGTAATGCCGAAAACTGCGGTAACTTTGCGACATCGGCTGCATCACATTCCTCTTGCCACCGAGTGAAGGGTACTTTAATGTGACTCCAAACGGGTAAAGTGACACAATGCTGCTGTAGACACTCTTTGCGCGTGCACCCGCAGTGATGAAGATGTTATGTCGTGTTGTTTCGGATTCGAAATCGATTCTCAAGTCGCCATCATCAATCACAAACTGCTACTGGTGTAGACTATATCTTCAAGATGCGTGTCATTTCTCCACAGGTGCTGTTGTCTACGAGCCTCCGATACGGGGCCATATGTTGTTCGAAAGCGGAGGTGACAAAACCTGAGTGAATGGATGTCATATTCCACTGCATGTACGCATTCCCTCCTCATGATTTTTTCCACCCGCTACTGGTGTAGACTTTATCTTCAAGATGCGTATCAAATGTCCATAGGTGCTGTTGTCTACGAGCCTCCGATACGGGGCCATATGTTGTTCGAAAGCGGAGGTGACAATACCTGAGTGAATGGATGTCAAATTCTGCTGTATGTATGCATTCCCACCCACCGTCTTCCGTCCGCCCTACGTTGGTGATCGGGCATTGACCTCTCCACGAAAATTCCTTTGGTTAGTTTGTTTTTTTANGTTCGAAAGCGGAGGTGACAACACCTGAGTGAATGGATGTCATATTCTGCTGCATGTATGCATTCCCTCCTCATAAATTTTTCCACCCGCTACTGGTGTAGACTATATCGTCAAGATGCGTATCAAATCTCCATAGGTGCTGTTGTCTACGAGCCTCCGATACGGGGCCATATGTTGTTCGAAAGCGGAGGTGACAACACCTGAGTGAATGGATGTCATATTCTGCTGCATGTACGCATTCCCACCCACCGTCTTCCNACAACACCTGAGTGAATGGATGTCATATTCTGCTGCATGTATGCATTCCCACCCACCGTCTTCCGTCCGCCCTACGTTGGTGATCGGGCATTGACCTCTCCACGAAAATTCCTTTGGTTAGTTTGTTTTTTTAATGCCGACTACAGTACATATCTACGCAACGAACGGACGCGGGGACCTCACATCGTCTACGACGTACTTACACTTCGTTGGTACGGGTGTCATCATTGCCCTCCTTCCTCTGCCGATCAAACCGCTGCACCCGTCCCATGCATGCTGGCCGCCCGGCCCCCTTGGGGGCGGGGGGCCAATTGTCCCCCCTAGTTAAGGTAATCCAAATTGAATTTTCTATTCACATTAAGATTTTTTCTTTTAAACAGGCTCTCAGAGAAGGCGGCAAAATAGGTACACAGGGGGGTTCACTATGCTCGTGGTTCTATTATTCTGGGACTGTTCCTCGAATCACGGGTGCTCCCAAGCCCAGCACCGCACGCCGGCACGGGCGGCACAGGCCCTCGACGTAGCAGTCTTACTCTTCTTGGCGAAGACTCTGTACACTGTCGCTGTTCCTTCGCGTACATGAATTCGCTCTGCATACATGCAGCACGGGTTTGGTTAGCTTTGTTGCCCATGAGCGTGAGGACCTTATGTTGTGCAAACTACTCACGCTAAAAGCACCGGGATGAATGGTGGTATCCCCAGTGCACTGTTAATTCTACTATCCCCAACGTGCAGGCACACGTGCCATTGGCTGAGCCGCGTAGGTGGATGGGTTTGACGCTTCTCCCTGGTTGGTTTTATCAAGGCACCCTAAGAGAGCCACTACCCAACACTGGGTACACCTTTCACCAACACTAGGCGAGAGGAGTTTAACACCGACCGACAGCGGAATTCAAGGCGTCAAACGCTAGGCATCTGGTGCGGGGGTATCTCGTACAGGGTGAATGCGCTTGTGCATGTCGTCGTGTGCCGGTCGCATTTGTGTGTACGACTGCGGTAGATTTGACGTAGTGTGCGAGAATGACCCCAGCGCAGGAGGCAACAGCAAGCGGCGAAGGCAACAGGTGAAAACAGGCATGCCAAGCGCTCATTCCGAAACGTTTCTTCTCCCTACGCATGAAACGGGGTTGTAGTCGCCCGCGTTTCTTGAACACTGCTCCGCCCTTGAAGAGGCTACCCTCCGGTCTGTTAGGGGCCCGCCTTTCGTTTCCAGGCACCTTGTTGCATGACCCGTGAGTGGTAAACATTACCGTACTGGAGATGTCGCCCTTAGCATTTTGGGGCTAAATAATTCCTTCTGCCCGCCCCCCGCCGTCGCTCTCACTGCAGGTAGGTCGACGCGATATGGAGGCGGCAAGAGAACGATTGACAGACAGTTCGGAGAAGCTTAGGCTCGCGTTCGCCAGCCTTCATGCGGTCGATGGAGAATTCGCGGCTCGTACGACTGATGTTGGCACCCTCCCCCTATCCCTAGCAACATCGAGGGTGTCCCAAGCAGCCGGCATGGCAAAGACGGTGGCACTTACTGTCTTGAAGGCGGCGGAGGAAGCAATGGCAGCCGCCACCACAGCGAGGGCGGAGGCGGTGTCAGCCTTCGCAATCAAAGCAACAACTGCCGCAACATCAGCAGCGGGTAGAGCGGCGGTCAAAGCACAGGGGATGGCCAAAGCTACAGCAACGGTGACGTTGAAATCGGAAACCGACCCCCCGACCGTGATGGAGAGGTATTGACATGACTGACTTGTTTGCATTGCTGAGCGATTGGTGTAAATTCGTCCTGTGTTGCTTTGTGTCCGCCCAATCTATGCTTACCGCTTTCTGCATGTACATCCTTGGAATGGCTATGGTGTCTCGCGGGCAAAACGGTAAATCATACGTATACGCGTGTCCGAGGATTTGGAAAATATTCGTCAGAGCTTTCGACGCGTCCAAAGCGCTACCCTTTGGCTGACCCTTGTACCACGTGACTGTTGCTGTCGTTTCGATCACCTGGTTCAGGAGAATTCCGAGTGGCGACAACAGCGGCAGCAACGGTTCATGTACGTATACAAACAAAAGGGTAGGGAGGGCGGTGTTAGCCCTGGTGGTAAATTTCAGCGCTTGCTCTGTGCTGCGAGCTGCCTCTATCGACCTCCTTGCATGACCCCTTTGCGATGCCTCCACCACATTCGAAACCGCGTTGCCTTCCGTTGTTGAAATCCATGTCTTGTTGCCCACAGGCTCGATGTCGTCCACTGGTATGGAAGTCGCGACCAGCAACATGGCTGTGGCAGTCAAGGTGCGCCTTGCGTGCCACATCGAACGATAGGCTGTCTGACTGCATGTATTGTCCGACAATCAGTCAGCTTTCTTCGCGCACCTGACGCGTACGCGTGGAAGACGAATCAGGGTGCAGAGCATCGAGTATCTCCACTAACCTGCGGCTACGCACACCGGTTCGTTCCCTTGTGTGAATTGCTTGCACGTCTGTCGGATTTCCGTCGAGCAGACCAGCGAATCAGACATGTCCGACAGTGAAGAGCAGCAAAAGCTCTCACAGCACGACGTCAAAGCTACAGGAGGGGAACACGAGTCATCACGCGACGACGATGTGACTTCAGAGGTTGGAAACGCTGATTTTCGAAGCGCCGACCAGGAGAGGCAAAAGGAAGCCGAGGTGTGTATCCCTCGGTGCATAGACGCGGGTGATGTTGTATGTTTGGGCTCGGGTTAGAATTCGCTGGTGGTCTGGACGACCCGCGTGCGTGCTCAACGTCTTCGTGCAGTCGCTTGGAAAATGCGCAGCTGGTTTCGATGTTCATCATATTCACTTGCAAGTCCGTTCATGCCGGTTTGGCAGAGTATATGCTACCCCCGCACACGTCAGAAGGTCATACTTGTGCATGACATGGGCCGTCGCAGCTCTCTGTCACTCTTTCGCCAACCGCCTTGTCATGCCAAGCAGTTACTGCTTCAACCCGCCACTGTTCGACCAGAGTAGGCTGATACGAGGCTGCTTGGAGCCGAAAAAACGCTTTTTTACCCTTGGGGGCTTTGGAGACTCTAGCTACCACACGAAGTAGAATGGGATCGTAAGCTTCCCCCGCACTGCCAGTCTGTTACGTTATGGCACATTGCTCCATCGCCGTTTGTAGCACATCATGCGGTAACCGTTTTTGTTGGATACCATGAGCAGGCCACCCTCGGGATCGATGGCGGACAAGGTAAGGAAGAGGAGGAACAGGAGTACGGCGAGAAGGAGGAGCAGCGGGAGGAGGAGCAACAGGAAGAAGAGGAGGGGGAGGAGGCGCAGGAGGGGCACGAAGAAAATGTAGGCAGCAAGTGTTAATGTGTATGTGCAGAGTAGACGTATTTGATGCTTGTCGCACCGAACTGCTAGCCTGTGGAGAGAGTTTGCATCTTGCTCATCTGCTGATGCTCAAAGAACGCTTGCAATGTCATCGGTAAGGCCTGTGTTGGAAATGGTCGCTTTTCTTGACTCAATGGTGGCTACCTTTGTGCACCGGGATAGATCCATCCCGTTCTGGCTTGTACTTGTCATGGCAGACTCCCTCAGTCGCTTGGTAGCATTTTGTGTTCTGCGTGAGGATCGTCTTTGTACCCAGATCCGTGTCTTCTCTGCCCGTTCCCCACTTTGAACCGGTGTTATGATATCCACAATTTGGTGGCAAGACCGTGGATGTCTAAACTGTATATGGTTTTCAAGTAAATCGGATACTTTTTTCTAGCTCCAGAGTGATATTTTGGACATGGTTTTCGCGACGTTTACGAGATCCATCAATTGCAGTTGTCGGATGACTCTCGGCAGGCAAAACGAGGCAAACGCAACCTCGGGGGTACAGCCAAGGCCCCCCGCCGGTACAGCGAACGGACAGCTGGCAGCCGGCGACCCAACTACGCTGAAAGGTGTGAACAGGAGTGTGAGATGTAGATGTTCGAGTATAGCGTCTGCACTACATGGGGGGGGTGGACACGCCTGGTAGTTGCGTCTCGGTCATATGTCATACATCCCACGGTTTACGCTCATCGCACGGACACAAGAGGTGCATATGCCGACTGATGATGGACGTTCGCCTTGAGCGGAGAACTCCATGAAGCCTGACATAGGGGCATCATCATCTCAAGGAAAATTCGGTTTATGTGAACTCTATGGGTGTTTGATGGCAACAACTGCCTGTTTCTCACCACAACTACTAGACCTTGGTGTCGCGTTAACCACATACGCCATTTCAAGAATTTGAGAGAGACATCAATTTTGAACACGAGCTGTACTGTTGTTGACCCTTTCATCACCAATGTGTTCCTGTGTTTCCATGACCGCGTTCGGGCGGACGCTGGGTGGCAGAGATAGCGGCAGCGAGTACGAAGGTGAGGGTAGGGTTGGAAGAGTACAACGAGGTTTTGGGATGACGGACGTGGGAATGAACGTCGTTGTTGTTGTCTTCAAAAACATTACCGGTCTCTCCTCCGTCTCTTCTAACGTATTTTCTGGTCGACTGAGACGGACGCCTTGCGTGGTCCCAGACAATCTACCGACAACGGGTACCATGTGTACCATGAAAAATCAAAGACTGCACAACGACCCAGGAAATCAACGTGAGCGATAACAAAAATACAAGCCAGAAGAAACGCCCTGAACACTGAGATTCGCATCTGGCGACATGCTGGACAAAGGAGAAAATAAATATATATTGATCCGACCGCTGCCATCGACACGCGAGGCCAAGAACAGCACAATGTACAACAACCGAATGTTTCAATGACGACAACAATCTCGCATGATTTTAGGCTTGTCCCTCCACTAGGCCGGGGTGTACTCACCGCCGTATTTTGCACCTTGCACTGCCGATGCGACTTGCCGACACATACCTGCCAATGTGAGTTGTAGGAGCTTCGACACCAAGGGACAGGCGATACTTGCCCATTGAACCACCGAACGAAAAGACCTGCTGTACCCCACATTCCTACCAACTATGACCGTGTATTGACAGGTTCTTGCCGGCCAGACTCTCTCGCACGCTACGCACCGACACATGAGGCATTTATTTACCAGCGCGAAAAACAAGCTAGGCACGTGTTCGCATACTTCGCGACTGAACCCGTAGGGGGAGTTGATGTTCTCTGGGTTGTCCCGTGCATGACCCCTAGCCGAAGGCTGAAGAACTCTTTGAACCAATGTCGTATTTCACCATTGATGCCGTTCTGCATACAGACGCGATGCTATCTTCTATTTCAGACGTAGAGCACGGCGATGTTCCTGTGGCGGTCGAGGTGAGCGATTTCGTATCATTGGATACTACGCGCGTTTCGATCTTGCTTGGTGGAGGACAGTTTGAATTGTATCCCCACGTACGGATGGAAGCGCCTCTTAAAAATGTGGTAATCCTTGAAAAACGCCGCTTCCCGAGTATGATGAACTAGGCCCGGTTCCTCCTTTCACCGCCGGTGAAAAGGTCGGGATACATCTCTCCCTTCGTTGTTGTGCTCCCCCCGCCCCCCCCATTGGGGTTGGATGTAGGCCGCTTGGCAACGACGTTGTAAACCAAGCCGGTCACTTCGTGAGCTCGGCAACCAGGGTACCGTTTTGTTGTTCCCTTCGTTTTCATTTGCAGTAACCATGATGGTGGTCGAGCAGGCGATGTTATGCGGGGATGATTGCACCGCGTTTTGTTAAATTGGCCCAAGCACCCTCGAGGCAGTTACACAGTGCTTGTATCTGTCTCTGGAAGCGAAAGCACCAGAAAAAAAATGCAGTCATTCGCAGCTGTCGTTCGTATGCAAGGAAGCAAGCACAAGATGCCGAACACCCTTAACAGGATGCAGCGCACGCTCCATGCGATTCGCCCAATACCCNGAGGAGGAGGAGGAGGAGGAGGAGGAGGAGGAGGAGGAGGAGGAGGAGGAGGAGGAGGAGGAGGAGGAGGAGGAGGAGGAGGAGGAGGAGGAGGAGGAGGAGGAGGAGGAGGAGGAGGAGGAGGAGGAGGAGGAGGAGGAGGAGGAGGAGGAGGAGGAGGAGGAGGAGGAGGAGGAGGAGGAGGAGGAGGAGGAGGAGGAGGAGGAGGAGAAGGAGGAGAAGGAGGGAGAGCAGGAAGAGGAGGGCGAGAAGGTAGGCCGAAAATGGTTAGCGGTGTGTTCGCCCTCTTTTTAGGATCTACGATTATGACTACAGAGCGTTGTATTGCCTTCAGCAACCGAAGTTATGTGATATGGGGTTGACCATTGGTTGAGTCTGTGCCAAAACCAACCGTTCGCTTGCATTCAAGATTGGTCAATTCCGTGTGCATACAGACGAATCAGGGAAATATACATCCCCTCGAAGCTGTTGCTGCCTCAGGTTTCTCGACCACTTTGGGAATGATGTCTGAGAGCTGTTTGACCTAGTCGCCTCAAGTTCACATCTCCTTCATTACATCCTTACCGCAGATTCGATTCACCTATCACGCGTTCTTGTTGAGGTACTGCGTATGAAGGGCGATGTCCATGCCGACTCCGGCGTAGACCACGCGCCGTTCAGTTCACGATGCCAGCTAGGCTGCCAACTGTTTGGTGTTTGATTGCAGGTAACGCGAGGCAAGCGCAAGCTCGGAGACAATGGAACGGCCTCTCGCCGGCACTGTGTTCCAGCTACCGATAGCTGGCACCCCAACTACGCCGAAAGGTGAGCGAAGGTAATGGACCTCTGCCCAAACTAGTAATTAACCGAGTTTGTTTGTCAGCCAACAAGTTGGCGATGTCTCTCAACACAAACCAGCCTGGATGAGCTTGTTGGACCACACCACTACTACACCGAGTCGGCAGCCCTCCCTGGGTGCGACCGCGAGCACTCATGAACAGCGATATTATTGAAAACGAAGGTTCAGGACCCGACAGGAGAAATTATTGGAGCACATGCACACAGTTTCATGTAATCTGCAACAGGTATGACCCACATGGACGGTCGCATGTACGTGGGAGGTGCGGCTGTTTCTGGCTTGTTAGGCTTGACTCGGTAGCTGCGATGCATGCCCCTGGAAAGGATACACCCCAAACCATTATTCGGGCGAGGCGAGAGTTCTAATCTGGACTGCCGGCCCCCCGAGTTGCAAGGGCTTGCTGAAACCCAAAAAACTCTTGCGTGCCTATACGCGCTTGTTATAATAGGTTTTAGACTATTCAATCATCACTTGATGATAAAGGGACTCAGCACATTTTATTTTGTCGGAGCACACAGCAGATTGCAGCTGCAGAACACACGCACAGGCACACACGCAAAGCAAGCAACACACGCCCAGTGGGCACAGCGACACATGCACAGCGGGCACAGCGGACAGAACAACGGTAAAAGCCGCGTTCAGGTCGTTGTTTGTCCAAACCGAGACAATGCATGGTGCCCTCGTCTTCGACTGCTGCTGCTTTTGACGCGCGGGAATTTTTTGTACCACACACATGACAGACACGGGAACAGTAGCATGAGGACAGCAGCAGGCCCAAGGCCTCCAACGCGCTGATTCCTTTTGTTCGGCTTTCTATACCATCCTCACTTCCGGCGCTGTGCTGCTTCGTGGGTCTTGGGGGCTTGAGTGCTGCTCTATGTAAAGGTGTCTGAGATGTGTATACCACCTCGTCAAACTGCCGTTTGAACAAATGCGGTGAGATGGCTTGTTTTGGGTCGGACACAGCCGCACAAACCCATGGCACCACGCAGCAGTAGAGTAATAAGGCCTCCAACACGCTAATTTTTTCGGATTGGTCATGGATATGGTACTGAACTTCAGCGCCGCCGCCTCCCTATGATTGTTGAGTTCGTCTATGTACCTTTCGACAGGGAGCGGTAATAAAGGCACCACGGGAAAAAATGAGCGGAAGGACTTGTGAGGAAATCGCGGGCGACACGCAGTTTGTGACACTGCTCCCTGCCCCCAGTGCTGAAAACAGCAGGCACAGCGGCTTGCGAGTGTGCTGTCCTCTGTGTTGGTGCTCATCTGTGTGCTTGTACCACCGCTCTGTGATGATCAAAGCCAATTTGACCTGTTGTGTGTCAAGCAAGGCGTACAGCGATAGGAAACGTTTTTTTGCGCCGATTTTATTGACCGATCGGGGAATTTTTTTCACGTATCAATTCGGGTATTTGTGGGGTCGACACGTAGGAATACGCCTCTCAGTACGCACTCCCGCCCGTGGACGCACACGTCTGACGACAGTTACGTCTATCAGCTGTCGCTCGTTGTAGCGACAGCTATCCTATCTTTTCACAACGGGTGGCGAGACCAAACCGAATAAACCACTTTATTCGTCCATGAAGGCTTCAGGTTCGTGAACATACGCATGAATCCCACGCTGGTACACGAATCGGCTGTCAGCTATCCCACCCGTGCATACCTCCTTCGGGTACCGGATTCAATTTCTAGGGCTCGGTCGTCTTTGAAACACACTTTGTACCTCTGTGTCGCTCTCACACGCGCACGTACGCTCTGAGTGGAGCGCTCAGGTTCGAAAGTATTCCTTTCCCGCAACACTGAGGTCTAGAACTTCAACGTGCGGTACGCGCGGTCGACACTTTCCCTCCCACGCCCGGCACGATATTCAATGTTCCTTTATTGTTGCCATTTCCCCGTGTATGAGACAACCCATTGATACCCCTGGGCATTTGATTGGTCAAAATTCGATTCGAAATTTAAATCGAAACAGGGCGTTCTCTCTAGCTGTTGTTCCCTCTGTCACGTCTTGTACGTATGTCGTGGTGGCCAGTATCCCTACTCTTACGAGTGCGGTACACCAAAGATGGAACACACCCATATCATCCACGGGCAGTGCAATTGCATTTGTGGAGTGAAGAGAATGGGAGGGTGACACAGTACAATCGTTGAACCCAGGGTTTTGTAGCTTGGTATCGGTTTTGCCACCGGCTGTCGTTCTATTGCCCTCGACCTTTATGATCGCCCTCGCTTGCGTAAAATTCGTATCCGATGGTTAGACCCACACAAGGAGAGCCGTCCAAGCGCCAACGGACGGCCTCCGAGCCGGGAACACGAGAGCAAAGCACGGGCAGTGGGGCGGCGGCAGCACCGCAAACGGTAAGTTCGGCTGATTTGTTGGTGTTGTAGCCTTTCCCCATGTCGACACTATTATGATACAGTTTTCGTGTGCATTCCCTGCTTAGTTTGTGTAGTGCGCCGCGCGCACAGGACGTTGAATGGTGATAATTGTTGTGGAGTTCGGCGATAGGCTCGGCAGGGTAGCTGCTAGTTAACACATCAGCAATACACGACTGCCGGCATCGATCCAGGGGTGTTGAAGGTGTATCGACCATGCTTGAAACTCTGGTGAGTGTATGCCAAGTGTTTGGTGGCGTTGTTTTCTGCGGCCACATACCTAGTTTTAATTTTTTGGGATTTGAGTGTGCTAGCCGGAACCCCGATGCTTCATTTTTGGTGAATTATGCATTTGATTACTTTTGGCGGCGGAGCCACTTATGAACTGATTCGCTTCCCAACTTTCGCATTGCTAATGTTAGCAGCAAAATTGGAAGAACCGTCTTTTCATTCATGAAACTTGGTTCCTTTGATGTGTGTGCTCCATGAACCCACACGAAAATGTGGGTGAACATACCACAGTGACCCTCCGACAGCAGTGATTGGTCTACCTGATCCCGGACTTATCGCTCTGTCTCGTGTCGCACAGCCATGTTGGTTCCATTCGGGTTTATTGGCGCAAACCAAAAGCCATGCGTGGTGCGATTGAATTGGAGAAGCGGGGCAGGGCCTCTCAGAAACCGATGAAGCCTGTTTTCTCGGCAATGCATGACGTGCGGTGGGACGCTGTGGTCCGAAACTGTTGATCAGCACCCTCAGGGAAGGTGCAATCGAAGAGTGTACTTCAAGACAGACCCAAAGCAGTGGAAAACAACAACAGACAGCCAAACGTTCCTGTGTGAAGCAAGAACAACATTAAATGTCTGCCCGCGAGCTCAACGGACGGAAAGCGTTTCAATTGACAAAAAACGCGGGACATGTAGCACCGGTTGTGGAGTAACGGGGGCAAGTGCCATCCCAAGAATGCAGACGGCTGCAAGGCCAAGTCTTAACAATCTAGAACTGCGGCAGGGAAGCATGCATGCTGTACCAGGACATACTGCATGCTCTCTTCCTGTTGCCCAATGTAGCCCACAAATGCGTACTTCCTGCGTCCGACACCTGTTTGGTCGGCCGTATCAACACTTTTCCGCAGTCATCGCCTATGATCGCCAGACGTCATGGACAGCAGTGGCGACCGTGTTGTAAGGAACACGGCTGCACGAAATGGCCGTCGTTCGGCAACGCCGGCAGCAAGAAATCGGAGTTCTGCTCTCTGCACGCGAAGAAAGGGATGGCTGACTTCCTTCGCAGAAGATGCCGCCACCCGGGGTGCATGACGCGTCCGTGCTTCGGCAACAATGGTAGCAAGAGGGCGGAGTTCTGCTCTCTGCACGCGAAGAAAGGAATGGTTGACGTTCTTAGCAGAAGATGCGGCCACCCGGGGTGCATGACGCGTCCGGCCTTCGGCAACAATGGCAGCAAGAGGGCGGAGTTCTGCTCTATGCACGCGAAGAAAGGGATGGTTGACGTCCGTACCAGGAGATGCGGCCACCCGGGGTGCATGACGCGTCCGGGCTTCGGCAACCATGGCAGCAAGAGGGCGGAGTTCTGCTCTCTGCACGCGAAGAAAGGAATGGTTGACGTTCTTAGCAGAAGATGCGGCCACCCGAGGTGCATGACGCGTCCGGCCTTCGGCAACAATGGCAGCAAAAGGGCGGAGTTCTGCTCCCTGCACGCGAAGAAAGGAATGGTTAACGTCCTTACCAGGAGATGCGGCCACCCGGGGTGCATGACGCGTCCGGGCTTCGGCAACAATGGCAGCAAGAGGGCGGAGTTCTGCTCTCTGCACGCGAAGAAAGGAATGGTTGACGTCCTTAGCAGAAGATGCGGCCACCCGGGGTGCATGACGCGTCCGGCCTTCGGCAACAATGGCAGCAAGAGGGCGGAGTTCTGCTCTATGCACGCGAAGAAAGGGATGGTTGACGTCCGTACCAGGAGATGCGGCCACCCGGGGTGCATGACGCGTCCGGGCTTCGGCAACCATGGCAGCAAGAGGGCGGAGTTCTGCTCTCTGCACGCGAAGAAAGGAATGGTTGACGTCCTTAGCAGAAGATGCGGCCACCCGGGGTGCATGACGCGTCCGGCCTTCGGCAACAATGGCAGCAAGAGGGCGGAGTTCTGCTCTATGCACGCGAAGAAAGGGATGGTTGACGTCCGTACCAGGAGATGCGGCCACCCGGGGTGCATGACGCGTCCGGGCTTCGGCAACCATGGCAGCAAGAGGGCGGAGTTCTGCTCTCTGCACGCGAAGAAAGGGATGGTTGACGTCCTTAGCAGAAGATGCGGCCACCCGGGGTGCATGACGCGTCCGGGCTTCGGTAACAGTGGCAGCAAGAAGTCGGAATTCTGCTCTCAGCACGCGAAGAAAGGGATCGTCCATTTTCGATACTACACGCGCCTAGAACAGTAGTGATAGCTTGAGGCAGAGCCACGTGCTGCTTTCCCATTTTTGGTTTCCGTTGAATGATGTGGGTCTACTGGCAACCGGTACAAGTTTACGTGCTGGTCTTGGTTTTTTGGCACCTAGCGTAATATCGAGAACACTAGCGTTGGTCAGTCTGCACGTGGGTGTAAGGGGCCGCCCACGGCAAGACCGGACGGCCACCAATTGCGTAGAATCGTGGAACAACATTCCAAGGGTGCGTTCGGTAAGGTACGACCGAGGCATTCCGACGGTTAATACAAGGGCAGGTTTTCTGTTCAAGCCTTGTGTCCACAGAGCCTTCGCGTGCCAGAGAGAGAGCACCGCAGAGACAACTAGCGAGGTGGTCACATAGAAGGCTTCTAGTGGTGTGCCAGCCTCTGGAGCTGACAGGAAGTGGAGTCTTTTCTTCCCTCCTCTCCCGGTTGAGGAATCGGGCTTCCCGAGCTACAGCAGTCGTAACTGAGCACCCGGGGTCCCGAGATGACGAGAGTGGAAAGGAGAGAAAGGACGCCAGGCGCCGGCAGGCGTGGCATCTAGGGCACAACACGGAGCGGTACGTGTGGTGATGTGATGACAATGTGGGAGAGAGATGCTGTGGGAGAGAGCAAAACCCACAATGCGTTTTGGTGTGTCAGAGAGATACACAACCCCAACGGAGTGTTCTGCACGTTTGCATGGGGAGAGAGATCCCAGTGTCCCACTTCTGCTGGGTTGGTTCGGTGGCGTACACAATCACCCATGTCGCACGTGATTCAATGACCAAACACATCAACCGGGTTTGGTGGCCAAGGTTGGTGGGCCTGCTTCGACAGCGCTGGCTGTCACGGCTGTTTTGCCACCGTACGAAGTGAACGCAGTCAATTGGATTATCTCTGCAAATACAGCAGTTGTTCCGCATCGATGCGGGAGAGAAAATTAACTGTGGGTTCATATGGCGTTACAGTCACCATGTTGAGCGTGGTTTCAATACCGGCTCCGCATCTAACGAGTGTGTGGTGGCCACAGCCAAGCCAGACATTACCCACAAACTATTCTCGTTTGGTGTCGATACGCGATGGAAGTACATTGACGAATGCTGGATCACATGGTGTGCTGTAAACGAGTGTATCACATGGACTAATCCAGCCCCAGAAATGCGTTGCAGTCGTTTTGGATCAATGGTGTGCAGTACACAAGGGCGTATCACATGGGTTAACCTGGATTCAGATTATGCTGCAGTGTCGTTAAAAGCCAGAGATTATTATGCAATTGCAAGTATGTGGACGATACTTGCAAAATTGCAACAAAACAACAATTGTTGGAGACTTGCCGTGTGAATCGAGGCCCGATTCGACGGAGTACGTTAAAATCCGCCCAGAGTACATACATTTGTACTGAGATAGTTGCCGGGGAGCATCAAGCATACCTTGACGCCAGCACCTGCGGGGAGTGGGGGGAGAGCAGAAACGCCGCCCTCGCAACGGAACACGCAGCTTGCAGGGAGACAGCACGTTGATGTTGTGAGCTGGCAAACACGACGAAGGTGCCAGCGAGGTTGACTGACGGGAGGCTTGGAGGGGCCCGCCGCGAAGGAAATTGTTGGCACGTTGCTGACACCGCCGTTAGACCTGTGACCGACGTTGAATAAGCACCTCGGAACAGTGAGACGATAACACTGAGCGCCGTATGACATGAAGATGTCTGACGCGAGAGAGAGCGCGATCATAAAGATGTCTGACGCGAGAGAGACTTAGACTACACAGAATTAACCCTTCTGGCCCTGGGCTCCTCGCCGCCAAAACAAATGACTAGCCTGGGACTGTCAGCAGTGTGTGGGGTTGGCCAATCCGCACGCACCAAAAAGTACAGACATGGTGCTGATGTACTTCTGACGCAGCTGAGCCCAATACGCCCAGGGGCTGTCCCGCGACCCCGCGACCGGCTCAGCACTTCAGTATGGGCACTAGAAGGGGTGCCTGTCGATTTCCTCCTCAAACACTAGTGTTGTACACCTCTCCAAAATCGGCTGCTCAGCCTTGAGCAGTCTATTTTCAGTTGTTGTTGTTGTTGTTGTTTTTCTTCACATTAAACTCGTGTCAGTTGCTAATCCCAACATCTAGCAAGGCTCGGTCCGTTGTCACAAACATGCTAGAGCCATCAGAAGATCTATAGAACACACACACACTATTAGCAAGGAAAGGGTATGTTCGTGGGTCTACGAACATGGTGGATCGGGCAGGTTTAGTACAGTACAATACTGCCAGTATTTTCAGTATTGCAGTACCTTTGGCCATAATATACTGTACTGCACGCTTTAGTACAGCTTTCGATACTGGAATA